AAAATTAAAAATATAAATGTCCTTATATATACTTATGTAATTTATTAATTAACTAATTAAATTATTAAAACGACACTTTATTATCTAGTAAATTTGTTTTTTTTATAGATTTGCTTTTATCAAATACTCCTTCAAAATATTCTTGTAAAGTTGCTTTTGGATGTATTTTAGAGTGTCTATTTCTTTGTTTTAACCATTGAATTACAGCAGGTAATGGATTAAATTGGCTCACAGTACTCATATTAAATTTAATATAAAGTGCATTATTTAAAACATCTGGAGACAATGAGCTTCTTTTAGAAGTTTTCATAATATTATAATATGAAATCAGTCTTTCAACATCTGCTGAATGAGGCTTTGCAGTGATTATACGAGCCTGTAATTAAAATAAAATATATAATAATTAATAAACATATTATATCAATTTAATTTATTCATAAAAAATTAAATTTTAACTACTTCTATTGTTTATAAATTAAATATTTTAATTTCTAACCACTGAAACGCTAAGTGACTTCCATGCAGTGTTTTTCAATAATTTTTTCAAAAGCATTTCAGAAATTGTTTGATTTTGTATAGTCTCAATGCCACTAGCTTCGCGATATGATGCAACAAATTCATTTAATTCATAATCTGGACAAATAATTTTGTGGCAATTTTTCAACTCTGCATCAGTAACTGAATCATTCAATTTAGCCAATGGTTTCAATATGGACCAATTTGAGGTATCCAAACGATCATTAAAGTATGTTAAGATATGTTCAATTGTATCATGGCGAATTGCGGTGAAACACCTATTTTCAGAAACATAATAATTATGTCTTTTTTTTTTTCCTATTGTATGCTTGGTCTTTCTCTTTATCAAATAATTCTAGATCCATAAGTGTGATTGTATCTAAAACTGAGTTTTGTGAAGAACTTGTATAAACTAACTTATTTTTTAACAAGTCTTCCCAGCCACCAGGAAATGTAGACAAACGAAGGTTTTCAATACTTTTTACTAAAATATTTCTTCTTTCTTCGATGTCAAATATTAAAATATCATCAGACTGGATCTGTTTTTGAAATCTTGAGTAAAGGTAACCGAGGTCTGTTATAAAGCACAATAATTTTAAAGTATTTAGGTTAGTCAGCATTCTATAAAAACCATCAGCTTTGGCATCTTTTTCTTCAATAAGTTTGTTTTTAAAAAATTTGACTAAAATTTTCCAATTTTTTAATACACTAACTATTAAATCATATGTGAATTCAGTCCAGCGAATTTCAAAATATTTTGGAAGATGTTTAACTGTAACATTTTCTTCTTCAGCAATTTTTTTAAGTTCTTTTGTCCTAACACCAGATTGGTGAAAGTATGTTGAAATTGAGGAACAAAGTTGTATAATGTTATACAATTCTATCACATTAGTAGTAAGTGACTCCCAAGCCAAAGCTGAACGATGAACTGCGCACCACATTTTTAAAAGAGGAAGCTTTACAGATTTTTCTTTTCTATTTTCCTCAAATAATGCCCATAGTCCTGATTTTTGTCCAACATTAACACTTGCACCGTCAGTCACTAAAGAGGATATCATATTCAACATCTCTTCCCAGTCAAATAATTCATTAATTGCAGACTTGATTGCATTAAAATGACCTTGTGCTCCCCTTTGATTTGGTTCTTTAAATCCAATAAATACAAGCTCAATTTCACCATTTTCTGTAATAACCTTTGCTAAAATATGAATATTATCTATTTGAGTTCTATCTACAGAACCATCAACCCTTAATGAAATTGCTAGACATTTCCTTAGCTTTTCTTTAAAATTATAAATATCAGCTTCAACTATGCATTTGGAAAAATCACGATAACTTGTAGGGTTTATATATTGTAAGTCTCCTTCTTTTGGTATAAATGTATGAAACTCTTCACTTATTTTTAATCGTTCTCTCTTTAAAGCTACTACTTCTCTTGATGGCCATGACCAGGCGCTTAATGTTCCACKTTTGGAATCATTAAATATGGTACACATATATTGTGCAATTTTTGCTGCCAGTTCTTTATTTTGTTGAGATATATATTTGTTTATGCGTGCAGTGATTTGTAATTCAGCTTCTGATAATTTAGACAAACGTTCAACTTTTAAACATTCAGTATGTTCATTGGATTTTAGATGTTTTGCCATAAGTTCCTTGCGAGGAAATGTTCCAAATTCAGTGCAAATAGGTGGAATATGATTTTTTTGCTTACAATTTAATAGCACTGTTTGCTGGTGTTGATAGCATACCTTACACCTAACCATTTTTCTACCTACAGTAGAATTTAATTTTTCAAAAACACAATCAAATTTTACTTCATCATTACTTTTTTCACCATTATCAATACTACCATCAAGCAAAGCTGTCATGTAAAAAGCAAAAAAGCATTTGTAAATGAAATTGATTAATTAATATAATTGATATATGGAAATAGGTTATACAGACATATTTAATAATAGAAAACTGAAATTTAAGAAATTTCAATTTCAACTTAAAAAGCATAATAATAAAATTATTATATGGATATTTTTCATCTTTTCCAATATTATAAATAATTATTAGGCGAAGACGTGAAGCTACATATTAATTAAAATATTATACAACCCATAGAGCTAAATAAGTGTATTTAATATGCAAAATTGAAGGCAGTTGTTTTTGTGAGAAATTTATAGATACTGTTATCTGTATGGTGTACAATGTGCTTAAAGCTTGATTAAAATAAAAATAAATATTTAGACTTACCTCGACTATTAGTTGTATTCGCATTAAGTTTTTTTTTAATCAAATACTTATCCATTTTTTATAATTTTAACGTATTAATATACTAAATTTGTAAAAGTTAATATTATATTTCAAACAAATTAACAATTCAAGTATTTAACATTGGAAAACAAATAACTGTTATCCTTATGGACCTTACCAGTACCTACAAATTATTTAACCACGAAATAGATTTAAATATTTAATCTATTCTGATGAATTATGAGCGTAGACAGTCGATGTTTATTCTCATAAAATTCAAAAATATTGATAAGTCACTAAAATCTAACTGATAARACGTGATGATTGATATTTGAATGGATAAAATTAAAATTTAATGAAAATCTATGTCACAGTGTTGCCAGACGTACAAACATTTTAACTACCGTATGAAAACCGAAGATTTCAAAAATTCAAAACATTAATTATTTACTACACACTTTTGAATTTCGTAGTACACATTTCACTTTTCGTACTACACAAAGTGTGTCGTAGTACACACAATTTTAGGCCCTGTATTCAGTATTCCCTAAATATTAATTCCACTTATCGTCGTGTCTGCATACTTAAATTTATGTAGCACATTGTCCAACTTGAGTATGGCTTACTTGAAAATTAATCGATGTTCATCTCTGTTGACTGACTTGCTAGACACTTCAAAATGAATTTCAAAATATTACTTTTTTTTTTAACATACGAAAAAGCACCGGACATGTGACGTGAGGCYGTATTATTCAATTGCCGACTTTCGTGGGCAATGTGAGATATCTAGACACTCAAACTCGAAATTCAAACTTCCCGCCTTCGGAACGTGATCACCAACACCGAGTCTTATCAAAACTCCTTATCACATAGACAATTTTTGTTTTTCAACCAACAATTCATTTTTTTTGTTAAAAAATAAACTACGACATTATYGTTTCCAGCCAACACCAACCACTCACAGYGAGTCTCACGGACCCCCGAGTTTCAGGACAGCGAGTTTCCGATGGCAGCTAGTAAAATTATAAAATAATAATAAAAAATAAATAATAATCAATTATAATAAAAATAATAATAATAATAATAATAGTCATAATAAAATTATAAAATCACACTTACATATTAATATATTATCGATGTCAGGCGCAGGTTGAAATAGAAACGGCAATAGGCACACAACGGTATTTACACCGCAGTTACATATGCATTGGAAGTAATCGTGTTTGAAACTAAATAACAGCGCACCCGAAAATGCTAAAATTATAACAACTGCCTTATCTTACGACTAGATAAGAAATTAGAGATTATCTAATGGATAGGTTCGCTGCATGAAACTTACAACGAATGGGCGCGATTATTTTTAAATGTGCGGTGTAAAAACCGTCCGCGCGCCCGCTCGAAGGTTAATCTGGGACGGGGGAGACTGGCAACAGACGACCTGCTGTCCGAGGTAATGGAGAGAGGTCTGGATGTCGTGTTGATCCAGGAGCCCCACGTGACGAAGAGCGGGACGTTTGCCAACCTTRGTAAATCAGCGCTCAGAATCATAGCGGGCAACTCGCCAGGTGAAAAATTAGCGGCTGCGGTGCTAGTTGTTAACCCGTCATTGGGCGCAACACTGGTAACGCAGTTTAGCGGGACTCACTTGGTGATAGTGGAAATCTGAAGCGGAAATCGGAGCCTATTCGTGGGCAGTACGTATTTCCAGTTTTCAGAAAGAACCGAGCTCCACGTCGAAACGGCTATCCGGGGACTTGGAAATGCGGACTGGATCATCGGTGGCGATGTGAACGCAAGGTCTAAACTATGGAACGACACACATACAGACGGGAAAGGAGAGTTGGTGGAGGATATGATAATGTCAGGTGAAATGATCTGTTGTAATACAGGATCGGTACCGACCTTTTACACCAGCATGGGCTCGGCGATACTTGACTTGACGCTTGCGTCAACGAAAGTCGCCGTGAACATCGGTAACTGGAAGGTACACGAGAATGCGATTACGAGTGATCACAGACTTATCACATTCGACTTCAACGACGAAACGGAGGAGACGGTAACAGGAGTAGGAAAAAGTAAAAGGTTCAATGTCCGGAAAACCGGTGTCCCGTCATTTTATTTTGACGCGGCAATCTTGACGCACGTCAAATGGACGCGGCCATTTGGACGAACGACAATTGGACGCATACGTCATTTTGACGCATGGAATTTTGACTCCATCACTTTTAGGCGCAAGTCAATTTTGACGCAAAACAAAAATATAATTTTATACTTATTATAATACGTATAATATTGTAAAATAATACGACGTTCTGTTTAATGCTCGATAGTCTTTCTTAACAATCTTATTTAACAATAAATATAAGTTTGAATTTGCTTCATAATATTGAGCCACATAAGTATAGGTTAAAAATATATATCTGCAATCTGAATCCCGGACGAAAAGACTTTTTGACCGATTATCCTGTAATCTTTAGTAATTTGTTAATCTTTATGGTCACATAAATGGTACACATTTTATCATTATCTTAATATTACGGTTTGCCATTCAATTATACCTGTACATTAATACATGGGTGCTTCAGTGTGCTTTATAT